CTCAGTCAAGAGGCCTTGGCCCAGCTAAACAGAAAAATCCTCTTCCTCCTCCTCAAGACCCCCTTGCGGCACGACACCAACACGAACAACGACAATAATGCCAGCAATAATACTTATATCTAGAACAACAAGGCCAACAACACCACCAACAACAACATCAACATCAGAAACATCAACAACACCGCCAACACCAACAATAACAACATCAAGTCCCACGCAAGGGAGATCCCAGCTTTGAAAAGGAACCGTCCGTGCCTACGATGGGGGGCGAATCATTTTGGCGGTGCGGGTGCTAAGATAACGCGCCGTGCGTGGCGAGGGCGATATCCTCGGATGCACTACCCCACACGACGGCCGGGAAAAACCCATGTTTCAACAGGGGTGGTAATCCAAATCGTATAGGACAAGGATGATGAAGATAATGAGACCAAGCTCTTGTTCTTATTCTTATTCTTATCATTTTCTATCATTATTATTATTCTTTTTATTATTCTAAGTATGCTTATTATTCTTATTATTTGTCTCATTCTTAGTCTGATTCTGTTTCATATTCGGACCAGTATTCTTATTCGGATTAGGATTGTTATTCTTATTGTTATCATTCTTACTCATTTTAGAATTCTCAATACTATTATTGTTACTATTACCCCTATCTTTATTATTATGCTTACCCTTTTCTTGGTTTTATTATCGTTATTATTTTTAATCATATTATTCTTCTTAATATTATTCTTAGTCTTAGTCGGATCATTTTTCATATCATTATCCTCATCCGTATTATGATTCGGATTCGCATTTTTATTATTCTTACTTTTATCAGTACTAGTACTAGTATTCTTTCTCTTACTCTCATCCTTAGTATTCTTTTTATTTTCTTACCTCGTATTACTGTCATTATTAATTTTATCCTTGTCGTTATGACTCTTATTCTTATTCGTAGTCTTATTTCTAGTTGTTCTGTTATTATGACTATTGGTCTTATTGTACTGTTTTAATGTCGTAATTATTTTGTGCGGGTGCGGTGCTAAGATAACGCGCCGTGCGTGGCGGGGGCGATATCCTCGGATGCACGACCCCACACGACGGCCGGGAAAAACCAATGCTTAAAAAGGGGTGGTAATACAAATTGTATAGGACAAGGATGATGCAGATCATGAGAAAGCTCTTGTTCTTATTCTGATTATGATTCTTATTATTATACTTAATCTCATTATGGTTAGTATTCTTATTATTATCCGTATTCTTATGCTGATTATGATTATTATGTTTATTGTTATTCGCATTCCCACTCTTATTCTTACTCTTATAAGTTTTTATGACTCTTACTCTCATCCTCATTATTATCCTTTTCTTGTTTATTCTTATTGATTATTATCATCACTCTTATTACTCGTATTTCCTTATTTTTTTTCTTATTCCAAATCCAATCGGGATGTCACCCGAGCCGGGGCGCGGGATTTTTTATTTTCGTTCATTTGCGCGGTGCTAATTATATCGTTCGGCGAAAACCACCCCCCATAATTATTCATTACGGTGCGGTGCTAATGATATCCCCGGGGGGTTCCTTAATAGCTTCATGCGCTTAGTCGCCAACGGCAGCCTCGGCGGTGGAGGACGCAACCACAATACTGGTTCCGAAGCGGGCGTCGGTTCGGGGCAAGCGTCGACGGGCCCCGGTGCCCGAACCACATGCGGGTCCCAAGAATGTAAACACCACCACTACCACTTCCATTCCCCCATCCCTCCTCCATCCTCTTCCGCTCCTCTGTCCTGGGAGAGGGAGGGGGGGTGGGAGGTGGTGGTGGTGTATTGTATCTTGGGGCCCCGTACTCAGGGACCCGCCGCTGACGAACCCGGGGTGATCAGAATCGAGTGGCCGAGGCCGAGGAGCCACGCAACGCTCGCTCAGCAAGAACGGTTGGAGAATCACGGGGCGCCGCAAGAACTGCGTAGTGCGCTACCTGAAGAGGACGCAGGGTCGACGCCGCGATTCCCGGGCGAAGGCTCAGGTCATCATCGGTCAGCATCAGTTTTCCGATCCCCGTCCCCACTGGGGCCACGGCATCTCGGCCCCGCCAGACCACGCCCCAAGGCGGGGATCGGCCGCTCGAGGCCCGAGGGGAGCAGCCCATACGGGCGAGGCCTCCAGGATTGCCCCCGCAGGGCTGAAGGGGCCCGGCGGGAATGGCCCAGGTCAACAAGAGTCCTCTTGCTGGCCCCTCTCGGCGGCGCCGCGAGGCAGACTCACAGCCCCCCCCCCCCGCCAGGAAGGGGGAGGCGGAGGGGGAGGAGGAGGAGAAGGAGGAGGAGAAGGAAGAGGAGAAGGCCGAGGCGGAGGCGAAGGCGGAGGCGGCGGCGGCGGACGAGGAGGAGGAAGAGGAGGAGGAGGAGGAGGAGGAGGAAAAGGGGAAACATAAAATCAATAATAATAATAGTACTACTGATACTAATGATAATACTAGTAAAAGACAATACTACTACTACTACTACTACTACTACTACTACTACTACTACTACTACTACTACTACTAATACGAATGCTAGTGCCAATCGTACTTTTAAGAATAATCATACTTATGATACTGCTAAGACGGGTGCTAATGCAAATGCTAATGCTGATAATAACACCAATAATACATATAAGAAGAGTAAGAACAGGAGTAGGAGGAGGACGACACAGAAAACGACGCATAACAAGAACATGAGTACTAACACGAGTATTAAGAGTGGTAAGCCGAATATGTAACATTATTATGAATCTTATTCAAAACACTACGAAGGATAATCAGGATACTCATGACAATATTAACACGAATCATACGTATTAAGACTACGCCCGCTACGAATACTAAGACCACTCGGAGTTCTATTCGTAGTAGTACGAACTACGAATAACAATCGGAGTGACCACAATCACACTACTTCTAATACTCGTACTAACAATAGTGCCAAGTAGTAGTACTGCCACAAGTGATATTACTAACACAAATAATATCAATGATGATGCTACTACGAATACTAATACTACCAATAACACAGCTACGAATATTCACAATAATACCAATACGGCTATCGTGGTAGTCACATCAGTATTAGTAATAATACGACTACGCATAATAATAGAAGGAGGATGCCGCTACAAATTTAGTTCTTGAAGTTCGCCCGACGTCAAATAATTCAAACATAGAGGAGGAGGAGGAAAAGGAGGAGGAGGAGGAGGAGGAAACGGAGGAGGAGGAGGAGGAGAAGGAGGAGACGGAGGAGGAGCCCCCAGGGGGTGACCTCGGTGCGGGGCGGCGCATCGGGGCCCCTGGGGGAACTGCAATCCGCCATGTCGTCGCTTGCGGCGCCGTGGCCCTGGGGCGTTGGTGCCCTGGCGGGCCTGGGGCGGCCCCCCGACTCCGCCGGGCGGTTTCCGTTGGGAGTCGGTCTGCCGTCTCAGGTCCCCCGGGGACCCGACGTTCTAGGGCCGCGTGGGTAACCCCCCAGGGCTGGCTCGGGCTGGTTCTCCAGTCCGCGTCGGCCCGCGTGGTACCAGCCTGCGCGGGGGCTGGCTCTGGTCACTGTTGGGGCCCGCCCCTGACGTCGGGGTGTCGGGTGTGACCAGGGGGGTCGGCTCCTTCGGGAGTACGGCTCAAGACGTGTACCGCTTGGCCCCCCTTGGGCAAGGGGGCCTGTGGGGGCGGGCCTTGCTACCCATGTGCGGAAACACGCGCCGTGTGCCCCGCACGGTGACGTGGGGTAGCCTGTGTCCCCTGGTGCAGGAAGAGCCAGGGAGGCATGGGGGCTGGCCACCTCCGGTGGTCAGTGCTGCTCAGCGAGTGGGCGGGCAGCACGTGTGAGGCCGGCGCCTCCTCTCTTCCCCCCATCCTCCTCCTCGTCCTTTCCTCCTCCTCGGGCCCCGTCGGCGCTGCGGCCGCTAGCTCCAGGCGGTCGCGGGGTGGGCAATGCCCCATCCAGGTCGGGCGCTCGTGGGGATCGGATCCCATGAGCGCTTACTGCGTGCGCAGGAGACGGAGGAGGAGGAAACGGAGGAGGAGGAGGGGGAGGAGGAGGAGGAGGGCCCCCGCCCCGGGCGCCTGCTGGCCCGTCCCGGGGGCCCGCGAGCCACGAGCGGCGAACGTATCCTTACCCATGCCCTCGCTCGGCGGCGAGCGAAGGGGGGAGGAAGTGAGAAGGAGAAAGCCCTCTCAGAAGGCGGCGAGACTTCTCAGAAGCCCTCGGGCCTTTGAGAAGTTTTCAGCGTCTTTGGGGGAGGCTTAAGAAGCCTCTCAGAGGGCCAGGGGACTTCCGAGGCTTCTGAGGAGGCCCGCTCCCTCTCACTTCCCCCCCGGGCTCGCCCCCGACTGGATTCCCGCAGCGCGATCCCGCGGTTGCGCGGTCGCCCGGACACGTTTCGCTCGGGGCATCCGCCCGTGTCCGCGGGGTCGCGGCCCGCGTCCGCAGGGTCGCGGCCCAAGCGCCCGGCCCGCGAGGCCGTGGGTGCGGATGCAGTCGCCGCGCCGAAGTAAGGGCCACTTTGGGCGCAGGAGGGGCGCTCGGTCCCCGGGCCGTTCCTTGCACGCAGGTTGGGGGGCCTGTCCGTTGCCGATGTTCGCCGTTGCCGGGAAAACCCAGTCGTTCTTTAATCAGCGTTCCCCATCGTAGCGCGATGAGTTGCATGTTTCTCGCGCGCGGGCGCCCCGCGATGCGCGACGCGCGATTACATGCGCGCCATCGCGCCGCCTCCGTGGAGAAGGGCGCCAGCTTTGGCGGTGTCTGGCCCAGCCCGTGAGGCCGTGGATCGGGATAGATTTGCTTTGTATTCGCACTGTACCTGCAAGGAGGAAAGTCTGATCTACTTTGTAGATTTGCCTTCAATCAACATTTCTCACAGGGTAGACGAGTATTTCCTCCTCGCTGGTGGATTGCGAATCCAGAGCGCATCTCGCCCACGAGCGGGACGGGCCCGCAGCCCCCCCCCCGCAGAGCTCTCGCGCGCGCGCGCCCTCGCCCGGAAGGGGTTGCGCCACAGGCGGCGAGCACAGCGCCACCTGCCTGGAGGACCTCGGCCGCAGCCGCCGTCGTCGTCGCCGCCGCCGCCGTTGCCGCCGTCGTCGTCGTCGTCGTCGTCGTCGTCGTCGTCGTCGTCGTCGTCGTCGTCGTTGTCGCCCTCTTCCACGGGGAGGAGGTGGAGGAGGAAAAAGGACAGGGGGAGGGGCAGGAGGAGGAGGGGCAGGAGGAGGAGGAGGAGGCGGAGGACGATGAGAGGAGGAAAAGGAGTACCGCGTCACCTGCCTACAGGACCTCTTGCGGCCTCGGCCGCCGCCGCTGTCGTCACCGCCGTCGTTCGAGGAGGCGTAAACATGGATGGCCTGGATCTCCAACGCATCGAAAATAGGTGCGTCTTTTTTTATAGAGTTTTCTCATTCTCCTCCTCGTCCTCCTTCCCTCTTCTTCCTCCCTCCCTCTTTCCTGCTTCCTGCTCTCTCTTTCCTCTTCCATCCTCCCTCCTCCCTGCTTCACTCCCTCCTCCTCCCTCCTGCTCGTCCCCCCTCCCTTCCTCCTCCTCGTCTCTCTTTCCTCCTCTTCCCTCCTCCCTCCTCCCACCTTCCTCCTCCTTGCCCGACCAGCGGCGCCAGGAGTACCCGCAAGGCTCGCCGAACGCGGACGGCTCCACGTCGGGCTCCGAGTTCGTGGTGCCCCCCGTGACGTCGTCGCGCCCTGAGAGGGCGCGGCTCGCCTCCGCTCGCCTCCGTTGTTGTTGCCGCCGCCGCCGCCGCTGCCGTCGTCGTCGTCGTCGTCGTCGTCGTCGTCGTCGTCGTCGTCGTCGTCGTCGTCGTCGTCAACGTGGTCGTCGTCATCGTCGTCGTCGTCGTCGTCGTCGTCGTCGTCGTCGTCGTGGTCGTCGTCATCGTCGTCGTCGTCGTCGAACATCCACTTCCAGAGAATGATTGAGATCGCTGATCTCTGGGAACCTGTCCCTGGGGCTCTCGCCTCGACGTCGGCATCATTCTCTTTGAAACCGAGGCCCCCGCTCGAGCGCGGCCTTGGGTACCAATGTTCGTGCGTGTGTGTATGTATGTATGTGTGTGTGTGTGTGTGTGTGTGTGTGTGTGCGTGTGCGTGCGTGCGCGCGTGTGTGTGTGTGTGTGTGTGTGTGTGTGTGTGTGTGTGTGTGTGTGTGTGCGTGTGTGTGTGTGTGTGTGTTGTTAGATGCCCAACTGCGACGACACGGTTCCCGCTCGATATTTTCCACCGTTTCTTCCGAGATTTCTCGGCCAGAGAGGGCCGCAAGAGCTCAGGAACGGCGCTCTCGCTCGAGCCGTCCTCGCAGTTCAGTCAAGTTGTTTGAGGCCGAACTGCGACGACAATGGCTCCCGCTCGACACTCACAATCTACCCTGAGGCGCCCCAGTCATGTGCACTATCACACTCAGGACTGCGCTCTCGCCCGAGACGTCCTCACCTCTCATGCACGTGTGCGAAGACCCACCTAAAAAAACATAGTTCCCGCTCGATACTTCCTCACAGTTCACTCTGACACGCCCTTGAGGCGCCCAAACTCAGGAGCGACGCCTTCTGATTACAAAGACTTTCTCGTAAGGCATTTGAGTTTGGGAGTTGCCCGCAGGGTCGCTAGCTCGCATGACATTCTCGTCGTCGCTGCTCTCGTGTATCTCTTGAGGGAGGAGGGCCGAGGAGAAAGGAGGTGGGAGGAGGAGTCGGGACGGGGGACGTGGGACGAGAGGCTAGGGTGCGGAGGGGGGAGGAGTTTCACGGGGAGGGCCAGGAGATTTGCGCCCCCCCCTCGCCCCATCCCTTTTTCCTCCTCCCTCATACTCACGCTCCCTTCCTCCTGATCCTTCTCGTCCTCCTGTTTCTCCTGCTGGGTCTCCCCCTCCGCACCGAACTCTGCAACCGTGATCCGTCGATGGGGCCTGGTCTGGATGCTGATCCAGCCGATCCGTGGCCGTCGCTCTTATTGCGTCGTCGTTGTTGTCGTCGGCTTCGTCTTTGTCGTTGTCGTGATCGTCAAGATTGTTGAACTGCCCGGTAACCATTTGTAGTTTGTTCAGTTGGAGCGCCCCCCTCGTTTTTTTTTGGGATAAAAATAATATGAGGGAAAGCTGGGTGTCACCAACGGGTGCCCCTGGTCAACGAGTTACAGCAGCGGCGGCTCCCGCCTAATACTTCCTGACAATGAATTCCCAAATCGCGCTCTCGCGCGGGACGTCCTCATAATTTATGCAGGAGTCGCCCTCTCGCGTGGGACGTCCTCGCAATTTATTTAAGCGCCGCGCCCTCGACACTCAGGAATCACGCTCTCGCTTTGGCCTTTCTCGCGATTTACTTGGGAATCGCGCTATTGTTCGAGACGTCATCGCGATTCAGGCAGTACTCGCGCTTCAGCAGTACGCCTTCTCGACCTGGCCGCTTGGGCCCGCCCTCCCGATTCGCCTGTCAGGGCCCACCCGCCCGATGGGCCCGTCTGGTTCTGTCACACGTTTCTGCTCCTAGCCCCCCTCCTGCTAATCCCGTGCTCCATGCTTCTCCCTCCGCCCAGTTACGAGACAGTGGACGCCAAAGTATTGGAAACGACGTCAACAAATGGATCGAGCAAGTTGCCCTCTACTCCTGGGCAGGATAACGGCTTGGAGGCGCTACTTGGCGCGAGTGCAACGCAGACGATCCCTTCATCCTGACGGGTTCTCAACAACAGGATCCAGAACAAAGTCCGAAGCATGGGCAGAGATGAGCGACGGATTGAAATTGACCATCTGTAGAATCGGAGCATCGAAACCTCAGGAATGCATCCGGCATCAAATGAAAAAACATAAGATCTCACAGCAAGCGTGCGGGGGGGTCAGCGCAACCGGCAATATGTAGCTGACGTGACGTTTTCGCAGACTTATATATGGCAGGTTGTATTCAAATTCTCATTGTGGTTCCGGGAGCAGCGACCCACTGTTTTTGAAGACCTCCGCAGACGCGAAGAAGATATTGGCCCTCCACAGTGCAAGGATTGGAGGCAAAAAGGGAAAGCGTCTGACAGCAATGGTATTGTTTATGATGTGCTCTTTCTTGGGGGCATGGCGCTTCGAGATACTATTTATTCTTCTTCTGTGCAACGATCTAGTGAGCTTGAAGTCGCCAGCGCCAGCAGAATGGAGGCGCGCACTAGTGCAGGTGATTTTTTAAAGAGTGGGGGCGCCAAGCTGCCGGCAAAGTATGGTCCGATCAGCGTGGTCCCAATATTATCCGAAGTATTGTCAACACGTAACACCCCGCAGTTGCGGATAAAAGTGAGGGGGCGGCGGGGACGTTGGCAGTCTGCGAGGCTCTGAAGAAGCACGCCGCAGGCGCCGATTTTTTTTGGGGGGGGGCAAAGTATACAACGAGCTCGCCGCAGGCGAGGATTTTTTTGTGAAGGCAATGTGGGTAGGTCGCGGGGTGTTTCGCGGGTGGATCGCGGTTGGGTCGCGGGTGGGTCGCGGGTGGGTCGCGGGCCGGGTCGCGGGCCGGGTCATGTGTGGGTCGCGGGTGGGTCGCGGGAGGGTCGCGGGCGGGTCGCGGGCGGGTCGCGGGCTGGGTCGCGGGTGGGTCGCGGGCTGGGTCGCGGGCCAGGTCGCGGGTGGGTCGCGGGTGGGTCGCGGGCGGGTCGCGGGTGCGTCGCGGGTTGGGTCGCGGGGGGAACGACGACAACAAACGACAATCAACAAACAACAATCAACAAACAACACGCAACAAACAATAAGCAACAAACAACAAACAACACATAACCAACAACAACAACACCAACAATACAACGAAACTGCCAGGACGCTAGGTTCAGTCGGCTTGGTTGCCAGTACTTGGTAAGAAGCAGAGCACCGACCAAGCGGGGTTCCGACCGCGGCGAGCGGCGACATCTATTTTTCGCACAAGTGCGATGTTACGATAAACGGCAGGCGAACATCAGGTACAACTGTGGGCAGTAACGGTGGATTTCCAACAAGCCTTCGACCGCCTTGCTCGCAGGAGCATGTGGGCCGCGCTGATTGACGAGGAAGTTGAAGAAGTCTGTGCCCGAGTACTGCCAGACCGTGACCGAGATCAAACAGCATTTGTGCGAACATGTTGCAAGAGCAGCACGTTCGAAATTCAGCGTGGGACATTGCAGGGTGATCCCCCCAGTTCGCTTTTGTTCAATGGTGGTTCGGAGTTCATCACTTACAAGGAAAACCACGGCAGGCGATAGCAAATATTGGAGTACCAATGCTATCGCGCGTTTTTTCGTCGAACCTTCCGTCTCTGGGACATGCCGCCCGCATGGTAGGCGACTTGCGCGAAACAGTTGCGCAAGTTGGTTTGGTGGTGCACCTGAAAACGACGAAACGATTACATAGTGGTCGCGGCGGCGCGGAACAAAAAAATGAGAGCGCTTTTGCGGTGAACATCGCGGGCGTTGATATCGAGAGTTTGTTCGTGCATGGATTTACAAAAATATCTCCGCACGTTCCTATGTTTTTCCGACATCCATGCAGTTGAAGTGGAAACATCGTATTCCGATTGCGAAACGGAGCTTTTTCTCTTTACAATATGGACTTGTTTGTTGGACGTCGATATTCATTGCGGGGCCGCATGCATTTATTCAGTGGACTCATTGCGCCGACGTGTTTGCATGGCTGTGAATTTTGGATCTTCGCCGTAGAGCTTAGGGGCAAGAGGTGTCGCGCCGGAAAACACACGTCGAGGATTAATTATCGGGGCACCGCGCCGCAAAAATTTGCAGACACACTTGGCAGCGAAACATACGTGGACAGCAAAGTAGACGAGTAGGAATAACTGACGCCGGCAGCACAATCCGCGTAACATTTGGAACTTTGGGTGGGTTGGGTAGATAGGGAAAGCGCGCCACTGGATCACCCTGTGCTTGAAAAGGGGGGGGGGGGGTGCTCGCAAAGCCCCCCCCCCCCCCCCTCTTCAAAGGGGGGGTGGGATTCTCGACCCCCCCCCCCCCCCCACTTTCCCCCTTAAGGGGGGGGTCCGAACCCTCCCCCCCCCCCCTCTAAAAGGGGAGGGGGGGTGTCCGGACCTCCCCCCCCCCCCTCTTGGCGCTGGAAGGGGGGCGAGTTCGACCCCCCCCTCCCCCCTTTTGCGCCGAATAGGGGGCCGGGGAAGGGGCCTCTCCCGCAAGGGGGGGGCCCCCCCTTGGCGCTGGGAGGGGGGGGAGTTCGACCCCTCCCCCTCCCCCCCTTTGCGCCGAACAGGGGGCCGGGGAAGGGGCCTCTCCCGCAAGGGGGGGGAGGGGGCCTGGCCTCGGGATAGTGCGCAGTGAGTAGTGAGTAGTGAGTAGTGAGTAGTAATTAGTGAGTAGTGAAAAGTGATTAGTGAGCAGATAGTAGCGAGTAGTGAGGAGGTAGTAGAAAGTAGTGAGTAGTGAGTAGTGCGCAGTGAGTAGTGAGTAGTGGGTAGTGAGGAGTGACTAGTGGGTAGTGGGGAATGGGTAGTGAGTAGTGAGCAGCGAGTAGGGAGTAGCGAGTAATGAGTAGTGAGTAGCGAGTAGGGCAGTGTGAGTCGTGAGTGGTGAGGAGGGAGCAGTCAGTAGTGAGTTGTTCGTACGGAGTAGTGAGTAGCGAGGAGGGAGTAGCGAGTAGTGAGTGGTGAGTAGTGAGTAGTGCGTAGGGAGTAGTGGCTAGTGAGTAGTGAGAAGTGAGACGTGGGTAGTGAGTAG